AATCAAAAGGAAAAATAGCACTGCTCGCTTAAATGAATCTCTTCGCACTGAATTTTATTGACAAATGTCTAACCTCTAAAATGCAGCCAGTTTCAGATGTCAAAATAAATTACACCTACAACTAACGTCATCTAACGGTGAGCCGCAAGAACTAAGTTTACCACGTAATAAATCAGAATATAACACTCTTGATACAACACCAGACGTGAACTGCACCAGACGTAGACCAAAGAAGTTATAAAACAAAGGTTAGGTTAAGAGACAGATATAAATATTTGTCTCACTCTAATTTACTGCACTACTGCAGCGGTGTGGAGATAAACGAAGCTCGATCTCGATCGATCATACGGTTTCGCCAACACAGAGGGCATTAGAGTTTTTAACTTACTAAGCGCACAAAGTCGCCGGCGCTGCGCACGTAGCGCCGCCCGTGCGCATGTAGCGCGGCCCCTGTTGGGTTGGGTTGGGTACAGCCACAGTATGGGTATGTTCCACTTAAAGCTCGTGACGCTCACGCTCGCAACGTCGCGATCATCCGTTCCACTAACGTGAGCGTTGTGATTAGTGGAACGAGTTACGAGCATCGTGGTCAGTCGTAATATTACAAAAATGGCGGAAATTATAGTAGCATCTACTGTGCAAATACTACAGGATTCTTCTAACGAAAGCAGTTCCAGTTCCGAAGAAGAAATGTACGAAATATTGAAAGAGAAAGGGAAACGTATTTTACGCCTTCGTATAGAAAATTATACGCAATTAGTTGTTTCGTGTTATACGGCTGTAGAATTTAAAAGCCATTTTAGGTTATCAGGTATTTAGTATATCAGGTTTTTTATACTTTCAGTTTGTTTTTACATATACAAAAAATTTTAGTGTTTTATAAATATATTTATTGCATGATTTTATAATGTTCATATTTATCTGTTTTACGATTGCAATTATTATTAATGTAAGTTTGTTTTCAGATTGCAGCGCACAACTTTTGAATACATTCTAAGCATTATTAGTAATGATCTAGTAAGAAAAATAAAAGGATGTAGTACAATTCCACCTGATCAACAATTAATGATTGCTTTATGGAAGATGGCTACAATGGATTCATACAGGTATATCTATTGTATACATTAGAAATTTAATATATGTGATTTATTGTCAATGATTGTGTTTGTTTGTAGGTTTGTGTAATTTGTGATAGATTTAATGTAGGTAAGGCTACAGCACTAAGAGCAGAAGAGTAACACATGCTCTATTTAGAATTGCTCAGCAATATATTTGTTGGCCTTCAGATGATCGCGCACAGATTATAATGCACAATTTTGAACGCGCTAGTGGATTTCCTAAGATAATTGGTGCTATAGATGGCACTCACATTAAAATCGAAGCACCAAAACAAAATCCAACAGATTACATAAATCGAAAAGGATATCATTCCATTCAACTGCAAGTAAGAATTATTACTAAAATATTTATAATAATAATAATAAATATTTATAATAATAATTTTTAATATGATCAAAGAGTTTTTAGACAATCCGAAGTAGTTGCATATTTAAATCATGAAGACAAATTTCCCTCTAACAGTCATTTAGTGGGAGATGCAGCATATGCATTACACGAACATCTCTTAGTGCCGTTTAAAAATAACGGACATCTGACTGCTGCACAAAATCATTACAATTTTCTTCTATCATCTGCAAGAGTAGTTGTTGAAATATGTTTTGCGTTATTAAAGGGACGAATGAGAAGCTTATTGCACTGCTTGCCAATGACCAGAGTCGATTTAATGTCTGAGTATATAGTAGCATGTTGTGTTATCCACAATATATGTGTACTACGTGGAGACGAACTTACAATAATATCAGTGCCATCACCAATAGATGTTACAACGCAAGTTTGCAATAGGAACGAAAGGCAAGCTGCTAATGGTGTCCATAAAAGGAATATGATTATGCATACTTTACAAAACAGATATAGAGTGTAAAAAAGTAGTTATATATATTAATATAAATAATGTATGAATAAAAATTGCGACGTATCACACAGTACATTGTTTAAATAAATTCATTTATTAGAAAATGCAATAAGTTACTATTAATTTCTTTTCTACCTCCATTCTTTGGTTGTGTTGTTTTCAGTTTGTAATATTGCAGCTTCATGACTTGTATTATTTAAGGATAAAATAGAAAACTCCAAATATTATATACATGTTATGTACATGTATAAAAGTGTTTTATTATAACATTAAGTATAAGTGAAACTAAAAGATATTTAGGACTGATCACAAAATTACAGCACATCACATAGTACAGTCATAAACTAAAAAATTCACTTTCTTATTCTTATTAATAAGGACTTATATTCATTATTAAATTATTCTATTAATAATAAAACTTAATATATATAATATATAATAATATATATTAATATAATATATAATTATATATATAATAATATTGCGAAGGCTGAGATCACAAAATTACAGCATATCACATAGTGCAGTCAAAAACTAAAAAATTAGCTTTTTTATTCTTATTAATAATGACTATATTCATTATTAAATTATCTTATTAATAATGAAACTTAATTATATATGTATATCATAATTAATGAAACCTTAGTAATATATGAATAAATTGTAAATTATATTAATTCGAAAAACTAAAAAATTAAATTTAAATTATTACACTGCAAATTAGTTCGATAAACTTATGAAATAATCAATAAAAAGTAAATGCAACAGATATAAATCTCAAAAAGTATCAACATATATATATAATACAAAAATGTTGGTATGTAGGTAATAATTACTTATTACAAAATCCAGTAAGCGTTTCTATTAATTTTTTTCCCATCTCCATTCTTTCATCATGTCGCTTTTGTCGTTTCACTTCATGCTCTTCTTTTTGTTGTAGTCTTTCTTGAAAAAGGCTCATTGCAGATTTTCGTGTAGTTGTTACATCTACAAAATCGATTAACAAATCAAGTATTAAAACTGTATATTAACACATATTAATAAATGAAATAAAAGAAGTAAAATGTATCTAGCTGTTTTTGAACAAATACACTTATTATTTGTAATTGAAGATCTGTATTATCACAAATACTACATTTGTTCCTTGTACTATTTAGTCCAAGGCATAGTGAAATGCAAAACAATTTAGATGCCTTGACATCTAAAGCATAGCTGACAGTTCAATAAGAGAATTTATTTTTCATTAATTTTTCTCTCAGACCATCAATTACATTCTAAATATCGATGATAGGTACGTTTAAAATTAAAGAAATAGTAATCTTATAAATATTAATGAAAAGATACAAGTATATTAAATATGTTTGTGTATATATACAATGTAATAGATAAAGATGTAAGAAAATGTGCAACTAGTAAATTATTTTACCGTTAACCAGAGAAAATCTAACTGAGTCGTCTAAAATATTTGAATATCTGATTAAATATTTGATTATCAAAATTAATAATATTTCAACCATTTTGCATTATATTATTATTAACCAATTATATAAAAACTTGACTTACTCTTCTGCAATAACTTATTTTCTTTATTTTCTGAATTATCAAAGGAATCAAGATTGCTACATGACATCTTCGAAGACAATTCTGTAGAATTTATGCTTGTATTTTTTACAGACAATCCTGTAGATGAAGCAAGTGCTATAGGGTTACACCAAACTTTTTTAGCAAAAATGTCTTCCATTAACTGTATATATAAACAAATATATCACAGTATTTGTTATAAAAATGTGTACATAATAAACTAAAAAAAAGATTTACCATTTTACAAAAAAAAAAAACAATGAGTAAAATAACTACAAACCTCAAAATGTTGCCAAGTTCTCCGATTATTTCCTGACGTGGCTTTATGATCTTTAATCGACTTATATGTTTTCTTTAAGCTTCTCAATTTGGAAGCACATTGACTGCCTGTTAAATTATATCCTTTATCTTTTAATACACGAGCAACTAATTCCCAACATTTTTTGTGTGATATCTTTCCATTATTAAACTTGGCTTCCATTTCTTGATACGTCCTTAATAAAAGAAGAACACATGAATCTGTCCAACGATATAGAGTACCTATAACAAAAAAAAATATATATATATGATCAATGTAATTAAGTTAATAAGAGAAACTTTATGTAATATATTTTTATCCCTTATTCTGATTTATGGATACACTTTGTTTGCTATAACTATAACTTTTATTTCAAACATTTTATGATAAGTTTCATAGATATTTAAGGATTATTTAAAATGGGACATGATGCATAAGCTCATATTTATATCTTATCTATATTTATATCTTATCTATATTTATATTTTATATTATATATACAAAAATAGTACATTTTTTTATTTACCTTCTTCACAACCATCTGTTGACGTAATATCATTATTTGCGCTTGAAACACTTGAACTTTCATTATCTATATTTTGTATCTCACTTTCTTCAAGTTGTTTTTGCTCTAGAATTGCTGCATTCAGCAAAGATGTAGCAAAATTAATATCTATAAATAGAGAAGTAAATTTTCTCAACATTATACTCACTTCTTAATAAACACTATCAGTAACGTAACATCAATCTTACATTTTCCCATTCAATAATGTAACTGTTATATTAACAGTATTAACACATGCCTTATATTTACAGCATTGAGTGGAAAATTATAAGATTGATATTATATTAATCGGTAATTCTGGATTACAACAATGTCAAATATAATTATGAAAATAAAATCAAAACAACTTTTATAAGAGTTTGTATAATGTTATGAAATTCAATCATATCATATAGGTTATAATTGAGATTTATCATCTTACCTGGGGTGCGTTCGAAAACACTGAAAGTCCACGACGGAAAGTGGCTGTGGTGGATGGGCTTGGTGGGGTTAGTGGAGTTGGTATCGAGAGGAGTTTTCGAACAGGCATGGAAGAATGCTCAATGTGACATACTACATGTGTGTTGTGCCTAGATATGTGTTGTACAAA